AACGATGTTATACTACACTTCAAACTTTGCCTTTGTTGTAAAATAAACAAAGTAGTATAAAACCAAAAACAAAAAAGAATAGAGTTAGATATAGAGTTCAACATTAAAATAAAAGGAGAAAGTTCAGTTGTGCATTGATACCATAAATATTTTTTTTAATACAAAAAAAAATGTATATCTCCTCAAAATAAGGACTATCACTCCTTTCTACCTAATCTTTTGACCATACAACCTACTCTTCCATAAAATAGAGATTTTCATCAAACAAAAAAACAATCAAAAGTTACTTAAAGTATTTTAGAAAAAACTCAATTTCTAACACTCCTCCTTGAGATTTTTCTTGAATACTCCAAGCTTTGATCTTAGAAATTCAAACTTGTTATTGGAAAGTGCTTTAGTCATAATATCAGCAATCTGATTCTCTGAACTACAATGCTCTACGTTGATTTCCTTTGATTTCTCTGCCTCTCTAATGGCATGATATTTCACCTTGATGTGCTTTGTTCTATCATGCTGGACAGGATTCTTTGCAATTGCAATGATTGACTTGTTATCAACCCATATGACAGTAGCTTCATCATTCAGTTCCCTCAAATCATGCAAAAATTTTCTGAGCCAAATGACTTTATTTGGAGCCACTGCAGCTGAAATATATTCAGCTTCAGCTGTGGATTGAGCCACCACATCTTGTTTTTTTTAATTCCAAGAGAAAACTCCACTACCAAATGAGAAAACATAACTTGATGTACTTTTAGCATCATCTAAACTTTCTGCCCAGTCACATATCCTTGAAGATCACCACTTTCATCCTTTGAAAACTTAGAACATAATCAATTGTCCCTTTTATATATCTCAATACTCGTTTTGCTGCACAATAATGAGCTTGACTAGGAGAATGCATAAATTTGGACAGCAAACTTGCAGCAAACATTAAGTCTGGTCTAGTGGTTGTAAGATACAATAAACTTCCAATTAAGCTTCTATAAGTAGTAGTATCTACATTGCTGCAAGCATCATCAAGTGACAACTTTTCATTTACAACAAGGGGTGTGTTTACGGGTTTACAATTCTGCATAGAAAACTTCTTCAATATTTCCAAAGCAAATTTTCTTTGTGTAATTAAGATTCCAACATCACATTGGTGAATCTCCATTCTAAGAAAATAATTCATTTCTCCCAAGTCAGTCATTTCAAATTCAGTTTCCATGTCATGCTTAAAGCTGCTCAAGGAATCTGAATTTTTGCCAATAACTAGCAAATCATCAACATATAAGGAAACAATGAGCTGCACTTCATTGCTTGACCTTTTCACATACAAAGTAGCTTCATTTTTACTCCGTTTAAACCCCTTATACAGTAGATAACTATCAATTTTGCTATACCAGGCCCTAGGAGCCTGCTTTAATCCATAAAGAGCCTTTTGAAGTTTGTAGACTTTGTTTTCACTCCCTAGAACAACAAAGCCTTTAGGTTGTTCAACAAAGATATCATTTTCAAGTAAACCATTTAAAAAGGCTGATTTCACATCAAAGTGATAAATTTTCCAACCCATTTTTGATGCCAATGCAACTAGCAACCTGATTGTATCATGTCTTGCCACCGGAGCAAATGTATCTAAGAAATCAACATCATGTTGTTGATGATAGCCTTTAACAACTAGTCTAGCCTTTAGTTTGTTTATAGAATCATTCAATTTGGTTCTATAAACCCACTTAAGGCCAATAACTTTGTGTTTAGTAGGCTTGTCTACAAGTTGCTAAGTTTTATTTTTTTTTAATCATATTCATCTTCTCCTGCATAGCACATCTCCACTCATCTATTTCAGCTGCTTCATCATATTCTTTAGGTTCTAGTGCAGCAATGTTACACCTTTCATAAATTTCAGCAAGATTTTTAATGCCTCTAATTGGAAAATTATCATCATCATCATCATCTAAATCTTCTTCTTCAATCTCTGAATATTGTTCTTGGAGAGTGTTTACTCCAAGCTGTTTTTTACTTAAGGCTTCTACCTTGCATTTCTCTCAATTCCATCTAGAAAATTCATCAAATTTCACACTTCTACAAATGAGAATCTTCTTTGTTAAAGGATTGTATATCCTATAACCTTTGGAGTTACTGGAGTATCCGAAGAAAACACCAACTTCTGACTTGTGATCCAGTTTATCTCTCTTTATCTCTGGAATATGAGTATAACATATGCAACCAAATATTTTGAGATATTCCACTGAGGGTTTCCTTCCATATCATGTTTCATAAGGTGTTTTGCCTTTCAAGGCTTTAGTAGGCAACATATTCAGAAAGTATGTAGAGGTGTTAACCTCTCTGCCCAAGAGGTTTTAGGAAGATCTTTTTCAAAGAGCAAACACCTTGTCATCTCCATAATGGTCCTATTTTTTCTTTCACTCACCCTATTTTGTTGAGGGTTGTAAGAAATAGTTAATTGCTGTTGAATTCCTGCTTGTGCATAAAATTTTTGAAACTCCCCTGCTGTATACTCAATTCCATTATCATATCTGAGTTTTTTTATTTTGCTTCCAGCCTCAATTTCAACTACCAGCTTGAACTTTTGAAAAACAGCAAACACTTCTGATTTCTGTTTTAGAAAAAACACTCAGCTCATCCTTATAAAGTCATTTACAAACAGCATAAAATATCTACTGCTATTTAAGGATGTTGAGCTCATTAGGCCACATACATCAATGTGTATAAGTTGCAGTTTTTCAGTAACTCTCCAACTTGCTTCATTAGGAAATGGTAGTTTGCTTTGCTTTCGATATTGACATACATTACACACATCATCATGTTCTTGAATAGAAGGCATATTCTGAACTAAATTATTAGACTTCATTAGCCTTAAGGTTGAGTAACTAAAGTGACCAAACCTCTCCACAAGGAAGATTCATCTTCTATGCTAGGAAAAGTTTGCTCAATAGTTTGCTTCCTTTCTAAAGGAAAACTTTTCTCTCTCATTTTGACAGACATTAGCTCACATCCATAAGGATCAAATATGGTACATCTTATATTTTCAAAATGCAAAGCATAATTCTTTTCAAGCATTTGCTCCACACTCAAGCACAAATAAAATATTTGAAATATATTTGGTACCTGTAAGAGTTTCAACTGCAACCACTCTTTTTCTTTTGACATCAACATTTTCTCCATTGCCAATAGTGACTTTGGACAAGTAGGACTGATCAAGTTCCTTAAAAAAACTAGCATCATGAGTCATATGATTAGTACACCCGTTATCTATGAGCAAAACTTCTTTGCTGCTACTTGCAGAATAACAAGAAGCAATAAACAATTGTTCCTCACTCTGTTCTTGGTACTCAGCAACATGAGCTTGTTGTCCTTGCTGTTTTGCCTTGTTTTTGCAAATTTTTTCTACATAACCAAGCTGGTTACAGGCCCTACACTTGACTCCAAGTCTAAACCAACATAGTTTTCTGTATGGTTTGTCTTTTTACAGTGAGGACAAGGTGAAAACTTCTCTTTTCTACCTCCTCTTTTGTTGTTGTTATCTTCTTCTTTTTTTCTTTACCTTTCTTCCCACCAAAAGGCTCTTTTTCATAGCTACTTCTACCTTGAGGTTTGTCTTTGGTGTTAACCACAAAAACACCTTCAACATTTTCTTTCACCATTGCTAGTAAAGCATTAACCAGTTCTGCAACTGAAATCTGAGAAAAATATTTATTCTCTTCAAGAGAGGAGATCTTTTACTCAAACCTCTTTGGAAGACACACCAATATTTTTTTCCACAACTCTTTGATCTTTAAGCTCTTCACCTAGCAATCTAATCTGAGTAACAACTTTAGAATGTCAGAAAACTCCTTCATTGTTTCAGACTCCTTTATTTTAATTGCTTCAAATTCTCTTCTCAGATTCAGCACCTTCATCCTCCTTGTTCTTTTGTTGCCTTGGAACTCCTCATTTATAGAGTCGTATTTAAGCCACAGTTGGGTCATTGGATAAAGGGGCTGGATTACTTCCATTTTCTACCACATCTCACAAAGTTTGTGCTCTCAAATAAGTTCTCATTTTCGCAGTCCACAAATTATAATTTTCTCCCACAAAAGCTGGAGATGGAGGTAAATAACTGTTACTGGATGTCATTCTCTGTTATTGATATTTTTTTCTGGTTTGTATATAACTTTCTAACTGATTTTCACTCCCCCACAGGCCCTTAAAATCAATGAGTTCTTGATACCATGTTGTAAAATCAGCAAAACAGTAAAGTAGTATAAAACCAGAAACAAAGAAGAACAGAGCGTGATACAAAGTTAAGCAGTAAAACAAAGGGAGAAAACTTAGTTGTGCATTGATAACGTAAAGGTTTTCTTTTTTAATACAAAAAGAGATATGTAAATCTCCACAAAATAAGCACTACCACTCCTTTCTTCCTAACATTTTGACTATATAACCTATTCTTTCCTAAAATAGGGATTTTCACCTAATCAAAAAACAATAAGAAGTTAGTTAAAGTATTTAAAAAAAAAAAAACTCAATTCCTAAATGTCTTTATTCATACACTCCTAAAGGCCCATAAATCCTTCAAATGTCAATCCTATTTTATGACTTAAATTCTGTCATTAGTACGTATATATATACACATATTGCTGGGTAGGAGTAACAGGAAAACATGCAGATTGCAGGTTGTAATGCAACGCAGATCAAGGTATTAAGTTCAAATTCATTTTCCACATAGCATTTCTATATCAATGTTACTTGGCCGGTCCCTCACCTTGCAATTACAATTTAATACTTCATTGCAAATCAGCATATGCACGTTTAAATAGCTGATACAGTTCAATGATGGATGAAGCTACGTTGATGCTGTAAGGTACATGACAAAAACAGAATTGGTAATGTGAACCACTAAGTATAGACAATAGAGTTATTATAACGCAGTGCAGTTTTATCAGTACATGATTATTATACTACATTGCAACTCCGTTAAACATGTTATTGCTATTTTGAGAAAACTAGCTTCATATAATCTAGTCTTCATAAAGTTTGGTGTCTAGACGTGGAGTTAGGAGAACTTCAAGTGGGGTTGCTTTTAAATTTGTGAGTCCTACGCTCTCTGTCATGTCCACAACTTTATTTGAAGGTAAAGCAACGGTGAAAGAGTGTAACAATCTAGCCAAGGTCAAGTGCACCACACGCAGAGCAAGCGAATCCCCAGGGCATGCTCTCCTTCCAGAACCAAAAGGGACAAACTCATAGTTTTTACCCTTCACATCAACATCATTGTGGCTTGTCAAAAACCTTTCAGGCTTGAAATCATGAGGATCACTCCAAACACGACCATCCCGGTGGATCTTCCAGGCATTCACCATCAAATGTGTGCCAGCAGGAACGTGAGAACCGCATGAAAAGGTGCAGTCTTCCATGGCTGCACGAAGGGTGATAAGGGGACTTGGTGGATACATGCGCATAGTTTCCTTGACAATGGCTTGGAGGTAGACCAACTTCGTTATGTCAGATTCTTCCACGTTCCTATCCTTCCCAATATACGTGTCTAATTCATCTTGGGCCTTTTCCAGTTCAATTTGATGGTTGAGTAGCAGAGACAGCACCCATATCAGAGTAATCATGGTGGTGTCGCTTCCTGCTAATATCAGATTCTGCCAACATAATTCATGAGACGTACCACCTCGGAATTCAAAAATATATGTCAAACAGAAAAGGTCATACTAAGACTGGTATTTTCTTCTAAATAAATTTGGAGAAGTCGAATCCATTACAAATGCTCATAAACGACTGGTTTAATATATCATTCGAATTCGTTCCTTGTAAGAAGATTTCCTTAAATGCATTAGCAAAATTATGGATTTTAATATATTATAAAATATTCTCCATTTTGGAATAATTAATTATGAAGTGTGTGGTTTTTGTATTATATTTTATTTAAATTAGATACTAACAGATTTTCTTATTATTGTTTATAATAAAAGTAAATTTATTTTAATTCAGGTAAGATTAATATACCGTTAATATTTGATATTTTATCATATTTATATTTTTACTTTATATATATAATATATAAGTATATGAATATAAAAAAATTGATATATATATATATACATATAAATAAGTATATGAATATAAAAAAATTGATATATATATATATATATATATATATATATAATAGATTTATTTCATATATAAAAAAATACGTATATACATAGATCTGTGAACATTTTTATTGATGACATTAGAGTTTTGGTTCTCACAACAAAAATCCAGAAGTTGTTATTTTAATTTGCGATGACGAATGTTACATTCTATAATACAACTTATCTTATAAGATTAGATTCATGGGAAGTTGTGGAAGAAAATTACATTATTGATTTACTACCAAAAATTCCACTTTAGCTCAAATCAAAATTAACAAGAAAAAAAAAATGAGGAAGACAATAACAAAATTATGTTTATACAAAGATATTTCACACATCTCATTATAATCATAATCCTAAAGTTACTAAAAAAAATTGGGAATTATTTGAAAGAAGAATATGAAATACTCACAAGAGTTCTAAAAGAGAAAACTCCAACAATAAACCATGTCAACATTATTATTAGAAAATAAGACTCCGATAAACAATAATGGCTCAAGAAAGAATAGTTAGAGATGTAGAAAATATTATAATAGATGTGCCTTAAGAAGTAAAAGATCTTAAATATAAAAGATGAAACTCTCAAATAAAAGAAAGAATATCTTAAAGAAATGGCTGTGAAATAAAAAAAACTTAAGACCAAGTTGACAAAAATTAGAGAAGTTTAAGATTTTTGAACTTAAAACTTACTATGAATTTGTTTGTATTGAAAAACAATAAAACAACAAAAAACAAGAAAAAAGAGTATTTTGAGAAAAAAAATGACAATAAGACAATGAAATTAAATAAAGAGATAATGCCATAAAAAAAATAACAACAATTATAAGTAAAAGAGGAAGAAAGAAATAAAAATATAAAAAATATTAAATTTAAATAAATAAATATTAAAAAAATGAGTTGAAAATATTAATTTATTATTTTTTATTTAAATTAAATATTAATTTATTATTATTATTATTATTTAAAATAAGAACAAAAAATATTAAATTTATTTTTATTTAAATAATTATTATTATTATTTGATATTTTATTATATTTTTACTCTTTGTATATATAATTGAGAAATACTAAATAATATATATATATATATATATATATATATATATATATATATATATATATATATGTGTGTGTGTATGTGTCTTCATGTATCAAAAAATAACCCCACACGACGACTGTAAAATTTCTATCATTTTTCCCAGGTGAATATCAAAATATATTAAATCTTTTACTATCAAAGGTAACTTCTGCATAAGCTAAAAAATTATTAGATGGTACCAAACCCCACATAGTTCATGTTAAGTAATTTGTATGTTAGTTTTTACATTTAAGATAGAATAGTTAATTATGTGACACAAATATTAATGGAGAACATGGTCGTCCAGGATTGTGTAATATTTTCTGACAACCTGCTCAGTTGTGACTTTTACATATCAAAGTAATAAATTGCTTATAGTCCATCCATTATGTATTTTATGTCAATCAGATATGAAGTTTTTTATAGTGTAGCAGCGATGAAAACAAGATAGCTGAAGTGCTGACACGTACTTACCAGGCAAGTAGCCTTGATAACGGTATCTGAATCATAACCAGAAATCTCTTTATCCTGCAGAACATTCAGCATGACGTCCATGAAATCCTGTTCTTCCTTTCCGTTCACACTAAAACCTCTTTCCCTTTTGTGTTCCTCTAGCCATCCTTCCACCAGAGGGTCCAATTCACTTGCAGTTCTCTTCATTGCCTTTTCATATCCGTTAATGTCCAACCACCTTAGAAACGGAATAGCATCAGATAACACGAACACCCCAAACAAACTCATGCAGTCTCTCATAGTTTTCTTGTACCTTTTTGCTTCTGCATAATCATCACTGGCCCCATAGTATGGCTTCCCTTTCACCATTCTCAGAACAATATTATGAGCTAAATCCCCAAACCACTGCTTCATATCTACCAAAATCCCTCCATTTGGACAACCTTCTCTTGCCCATAACTTGTAAAGATCTTTTGTTGCTGCTTCTAACTCAGATGTTCTTGTGCTCTTCAGCAGTTCAAGTCGGTGGTTAGACAGAAGCTCAATAGTGGCTAATTTCCTCATCTCACGCCAGTAAGGACCATAAGGAGTGAAGCCAAACATGGCATAGTTGTAGCCCATTAGCTTTGAGGCTGCAACACAGGGCCTGGTGGAGAAGGCTCTGTCATGGACAGTGAAACACTCCTTGGCCATCTCCCAGCTACTCAGTACCAGAACTTTGTATGAACCAAGTTTTATTGTGAAAATTGGTCCATGTTTCTCAGCCATCATCCCAAGTGTTTTGTGTGTATGTTGATGACTCCCAAAGAGGTGTAAATGGCCAATAATAGGCCATGCTCCTCCTGCTTGAGGTGCACTGCAGATCTTTTCATGACCACTATGTGTTCTCTTCAAACGATAAATCAAGACACCTACTGAGAGAGCAAGAATGATGGAAATGAGAGTTTGGAATTGGAAAATATCCATCATGGTCATGGCCCTCTTGAGTACCAAATTAACCTAAATAAAAGAAATTATTGAACCCTGGTATACTTTTCCTTCTTCTTTTTTTATGGAATGGCCTCTTTTTCGTGCTTGGAAGTTGATTGTTTTGTGGGTATTAAAATAAAATCCAAAAAAAAAAATGCAGCTATTGGAAATTGTTACTTTTTAAAAAATTAAATTAATTTAACCAATAGAATATAATTCTAATAAGGTATTGATTTAATTAAATATAAACTTAGTGAAGAAAATCTGTTACTGAGCACGAAATAAGTGATTACAATAAATATATGGAACATTATTGCAACAGTGTAGTAGCGTAATGGAACTTTTCATTACAAGATGGAAAGCCTCAAGTTGAGGCTTATTGCCCTTATTTAGAGAAAAGTAGCATGATAAAATCTAGTCCTCGTAAAGATTTGTATCTAAACGTGGAGTTAGAAGAACTTCAAGTGGGGTTGCTTTTAAATTTGTGAGTCCAATGCTTTCTGTCATGTCTACACCTTGATTTGAAGGCGAAGCAACATTGAAAGAGTGTAAGAGTCTAGCCAAGACCAAGTGCACAACACGCAGAGCCAGTGAGACCCCAGGGCATGCTCTTCTTCCGGAACCAAAAGGGACGAGCTCATGGTTCTGACCCTTTACATCAACATCTTTGTGGCTTGTCAAGAACCTTTCAGGCTTGAAATCATCAGGATCAGGCCAAACACGACCATCTCTATGGAGCTTCCAAGTATTCACAATTAAACGTGTGCCAGCAGGAATATGATAGCCGCATGAAAATGTGCACTCTTCCATTGCTGCACGAAGGGTGATAATAGGACTTGGTGGATACAGCCGCATACTTTCCTTTACAATGGCTTGGATGTAGACTAGCTTCTTTATGTCAGATTCTTCAACCTTCTTGTCCTTCCCAATATGAGTGTCCAATTCATCTTGGGCCTTTTTAAGCTCCATTTTATTGTTTAGTAGCAGAGATAGGGCCCATGTTAGAGCCACCATGATACTGTCCCCTCCTGCCAAAATCAGATTCTGCAAAAGTATACCAGCTCATGGTTGGAATTCAAAGTTAGATATCAATATGTCCCAAAAGTTGTTGTGTTTTACCTTTCCAATTTTTTTCTTCTGGTCTAAACCAAAGATGGATGTTGTGTGGAATCCGACTTGTGAGAAGATTTAAGTAGACGAATCAATTTACTATCTGACTATTCTATAATTGTACATCAATTTTATCTATCTTTATGTCATGTATTTGTATTGGATTAATTCTTTTTGAATTTATTCTTTTTGAATTTATTATATATAATAACATGGACACACTTACCAGGGAAGTAGCCTTGATGATGGTGTCAGAATCATAACCGGAAACCTTAAGATCCTGCAGAACATTCAGCATGACATCCATGACATCTTGTTCATCCTTTCCATTAGTACTCGAAACTCTTTTTCTTTTGTGTTCCTCCAGCCACCCTCCAACCAAAGTGTCTATTTCACTAGCTGTTCTCTTCATAGCCTTTTTGTATCCATTGTTATCTAGCCACCCCAGAAATGGAATAGCATCGGATAACACAGACACCCCAAACAAACTCATGAAGTCCCTCATAGCTTTCTTATACCTTCTTGCTTCACCTTCTGCACAATCATCAGTACTATCCCCATAATATGGCTTCCCTCCCACCATTCTCAGAATAATATTATGCGTCAAATCCCCAAACCACTGTTTCATGTCTACTAAAACCCCTCCCTTTGGACAGCCTTCTGTTGACCATAACTTGTAAACCTTCCTTGTTGAAGCCTCTAACTCAGACGTTCTTGTATCCTTGAGCAGTTCAAGCCTTTGGTTAGAGAGAAGCTCAACAGTGGTAAATTTCCTCATCTCACGCCAGTAGGGTCCATGAGGAGCGAAGCCAAACATTGCCGAGTTGTAGGTCATGAGCTTTGAGGCTGCAACAGAGGGCCTGGTGGAGAATGCTTTATCATGGACAGTGAAACACTCTTTTACCATCTCCCAACTACTCAACACGAGAACTTTGTATGAACCAAGTTTAATTGTGAAAATTGGTCCATGTTTGTCAGCCATCATCCCAAGTGTCTTGTGTGTAAGTTGATGAGCCCCAAAGTGGTGCAAATGACCAACAATAGGCCATGCTCCTGCTGCTTGAGGCACAGTGCAGATCTTTGCATTAGGACCATGTGTCTTCTTTAACTGATAAAGCAAGACACCTACCAACAAGGCAATAATGCCTGAAATTAGTTGGAGCTGGAAAACATCCATGACCATGTTGAAACGGCCACCTCAAATTTGTTGTGTCCTTTTTCCTTATGCTTAGCAAACAATGCACCGCATTTGTCTTTTGACTAAACAGATGGATCAGGTTCATGAAAATCAAATGTTTCAGATTTATTATTTGTGCATGATTCATGTAAAGTCTGCAGCACTGAATAAACTTCAATTAAAAATTGGCTGGTCCTGAAGTCTGCTTAGTTGCAGTGCTGGAAATTTTCACAATATCTAGTTGATCTTAGTAGATTTACCATAAAATAAATTCATGACAGATATAATTTTTGTCTCTAGTGACATTTTTATTCTTCAATTAGTAATATTAGCTCTGAAAATATGCAAGCCACTAAACTTCTGATAGATCCCCTTGGCAAAAGTTGACCCGGCATCTTGAAATGTTCTAATCGTCTAACCGATTCAGACAGAAACAGGATATGAATAAACATTTGATTGGATATTTTCTGGCTTAAGTATTATATTTTTTTTTTCCACTTATTTTCTTCATTGAAATATTATATCTTGTATTAAAAGTGGCGGTAAGCGTGGGCCACACTTAAGTAATATTAGAATATTCATTGCAGATGAAGATGATTCTTGTCGAAATATTAGTATTTTTTAGCTAAATCGACAGGCACTATGTGTAACAGTATTTCTACCATTTTTAACAAAGGCTGAATAGACTCTAAAAGGTAAGGTTATTTAGTGACCTGATTAAAATTATATTCCCAACTGTATTTAACATAAGTTACTTCTAACAAAATCATATAATTGTATATAATAATAAAATAAAGTGATTTCATTATATTTTCAAAATAATGTTTCTAATCCTAAATTTATTCTTATTATAAATGACTAGTAAAGAAACCATTTGAATATTTAACATTATTGGTGGTTAATTTAATATATCCTTGAATCAATTAATTAATTTATTATATCCATCAATCAATTAATTTATGTCACCCTTTCTCTACAAGGGATGATTGAACTTCTGGTATAACCTAGAAATTAGAATGAAGTCATGAAAAATAGAAGCTTCAATATTCTATATCATACTCTATGAATATCTTTTAAATGTAAAATTGAGACAACAAGAATTAGATCATGACTATCTTTTTCTTCAGCAGACGAGGCGAATGAGATAAAAAGTATTTGGGACATAATTTAACTATCATGTTAGAAATTCAAATTATAATAATGGATCTCTGCTGGACTATGACAACAGAGCACATATTACCTATAACTAAAAAAAGTTATGCCAAAATACCAACTCCAGTAACCTCAATGGTAATGCTTTTTCATGGAAAGTAAACACATATATATCCGAGGTTAGTTCGAGAAAAAGAAAAAATAAAAGCCCTCATGATTTTTTGACCCTGTACCTAAGTCTTCCAGCAATGCAGTCTGAGCTTTGTTTGGAAGAAGAACCAAGAGGCTTTATGGTATCACAACACTCATTTTTTTTTTCAAGATGAAGAGGTTTCGGGGTATCTGAACACTCAATTTTTTCTAGTTGATCTTACTCTTCAGAAAAAAGCAATCTCTTTGTTGAAACATCAGCACCATCACCTTCAGTTTCAGCAAGAGGCTTCAATGATCCCAGATGATTCTCATTGACCTTAAGAGACTTGTTGTCCACATCAGAGAAGGGCAGTGACCTTCTTGCTGAAACTGAGTTGGAAGCATCTGCATTTCTGCACGCCGGGTTTGAATAAGGTAGTGTGCAAATGATTTGTAACCCAAAGCCGGTATCTAAAATAAGGAGATTTGAGCTTAGCTTCAAATCAATCTTCGGATAAACAACATTATGATGGTAATAAAACAAATTTTGGTATAACCTTTTTATATAAAGGGCCAGTTGGGGGTCATCCTTTTGCTTGGCGGCATAAGCTACAGTTGCAAATTCCGCTACAAAGGGGGCATAGCCAAGTTGGATTCTGTATGACTTCAAGGACATGCTCCCCGTATCTACAAAAGAAGAATAATGTTAATGAAGCACTGGGTCAAAGCATCATCCCAAATCATAAATCTAGGTATTTCTTGGATATAATTTTGGGCTTTGGCCATCTGAAGGTTTCAGCTGTGTATGGATGTATGCGCCTGTCTAGCAGGCTTGTAACTTAACCCCACTTATATATTTCAATTTATATCTCTAACTTTTCAACAGGTTCTCGATTTTCAAGACACTACTATGTTCAGAATATAGGTGGGATACAATGCTACAATATTTTATGTGAATATAAGTTTAATTTATTCTTCAAAATCCATTTATAAATGAGGTTCAAACTTCACTTACATATTATATAATCTATATGGGATTTCAACATATTTAAATGAAAACAATTTATCTGTCAATGGGTGTTATAAAGGCTTGATCAACCATAAACATCTGAAGTTCAAACTAGAAGATAATATAAATTGAAGATAACAAATTGAACAAGGATAGGAATAATATGATTTATAGACAGTTATTAAAATTCCACATTACAAAGGGTGTAGGAAGTTACTGGTTGTGACTTGTGTGTAGGGAATTAATGTGATCGTTTGTCTATCACTGTCATTACCAGGAACCAGATTCCAATAACTTGATCTCGCGTGCATCATTATTATAACTATTACTTCATTATAAAAACTGAAACAATTTGAACTAATTAATAAAAAAAGTAAAGTCCTCTTAAATTTGGTTATTATAACTTAACCAAATTAAATTTAGTGATTTGGTTATTATGTCTTAATCAAATTAAATTTAGTGATTCTAACTTAACTATAATAAATTTGTTCATCAAAGTACTTGATAACTGCGTCTAAAATGGTTAAGTCATATCATTTAATTTTTTTATAAAATATAATTTAAATAGCACAAAATTATGTATAGTAAAAAATAGATATAGCTGAGAATAGTCACACTGAATTAACTCATTCTTTCCCGTACAATTTTAAAAATGATGATTCCTCATTCCTCATTATATGTGATGCACTAAAAATTAATTATCATATCGATTTTCAAGTACAACAATGTGATTATTTTCATTTGAATGTCTTGTTTCACTTCACTGTAAAAATTCATGAATAATTTGGACTAATATAAGAAAATAATAAAGTCCACTTAGATAGAATTAAATTTAATTATTATAACTTAATTATATTAAATTTAGAGATTTTAATTTAACTACATGATCATCACCTAAATTTTGTAGTTGAGGACCAAATTTAATAGTTGATAACTAAATTTAGAAAGATCAAGTCATATCAACTAATTTAATACTGTAAAAAAAACTTTATTTTGTATAAATTAACTTAAATCATATATATATATATATATATATATATATAAAATAAGAAATAAGAATAGTCACAATAAAAAAATTAAATTAATTTATTCTTATCACATAATTTTAAAAAATGATAGTCCCTCGTTATATAAAATGCTCTAAATATCAATTATATTGATCAGGATTTTCAAATTCATCAATGTAATAATGTGATAATTCTTATTGTATTCGTAAATCACTTCATAAAATAAAAAATCAAAAGTCTCTTAGATAAAATTAAATTTAATTGTTATTACTTAATTTATTAAACTTGGTGACTTTAGCTTAACTATATTAAATTTGATCATCAACTTCATAATTCTATAAATTGGGAAACACAGAGTAGTTGATGATCAAATTTAATATTATTTAATAACCAAAATTAAAGAAATATAGTAATACCAACCAATTTAATACCATCAAAAATACTTATAAGACATAAGTAAGAATAATCACAATAAAAGTATTAAGTTACCTAATTGTTAAAAATTAATTATCTGATATAATTCTTTCAAATACATCAATGTGATTATTCTCATTAAAATGTCAATTCATTAATAATTTTAACTAAAATAACAAAAAAATAAAGTTTCTTAACTAGAACTAAATTTGATTGTTATGACTTAACCTTATTAAATGTGATGATTATAATTTATCTATAGAAAAATTGATCATAAATTTGATTGTTATGACTTAACCTTATTAAATTTGATGATTATAATTTATTTATAGAAAATTTGATCATCACATACTTAATCCTATAAAATCCTCCATATAGAATAGTTGATGACCAAATTTAAAAAGATTAAGTCATACCAACCAATTTAATACCGTAAAAGAAACTTAAATTTTTATAAATTGACTTAAATAGGAACAATCACAAGAGTCAAATTAATTAACTCAATCTAATTTTTTCAAATACATCAATGTGATAATTCTTACTTGTATTCTAGATTTACTTCACTATAAAAATTCATGAACTACTTGGACTATAATAAAAAAATTAAATGAAAGCCTCTTAGACCGAATTAAATTTAAAAATTTAATTGTTAAGACGTAATCATATTAAACTTGGTAATGAAAGCTTAACTACATTAAACTTGGTAAACAACTCCTTAATCTTATAAATTAAGAATCATAGAATAATTGATTATCAAATTTAATATTTAATGACCAAATTTAAAAAGATAGAGTCGTTCCAACCAATTTAACTGAGATTTTTTAAAATTGACTTAAACTACTCATAGCAAATAAGTGAGAATAAGAAAAGAATTAAGTTAACTCATTCTTACCCATATAATTTTGAAGATAGTCATTCCTTATTATATATGATGCATTAAAATTTAATTATCTTGATCTCGTTCATTCAAACACATCAATGTTATTATTTTCAATTGTATATCTTATTTCACTTCACTGACTAATGATATTAAAAAATAAAACCTCTTCCAGCGAATTAAATTTGATTGTTATGACTTAACTATATTAAATTTGGTAATAATAACTTAATTACATAAAATTTGATTATAAACTGGTCAATCCTATAAATTATTAAATATAGAGAAGTCATATCAAATTTATAAGATAAAGTCATTCCAACTAATTTAATACAGTGAAAGAGATTTTTATTTTTATTTTTCTAAATTGACTTAAATTGCACAGGAATATGTATAATGAAATAAGACATAAGTAAAAATAATCAAAATAAAAAATTATGATAATTCATTCTTACCACGTATAATTTTAAGAATGGTCATTCTCATGATATATAATGCACTAGAAATTGCACAGGAATATGTATAAGGAAATAAGACATAAGTAAAAATAATTAAAATAAAAAAAATTAAGATAATTCATTCTTTCCACGTATAATGTTAAAAATGGTCATTCTCATGATATATAATATAAAATGCACTAGAAATTATTCATCTTGTTCTAGTTCTTTTAAGAAGATCAATATGATTATTCTCATTTGTACGTATTATTTCACCTCATTATAAAATTCATGAACAATTTAGACTACTGTTAAAAACAAAGCCTCTTAGACTGAATTAAATTTAGTTGTTATGACTTAACTAGATTAAATCTTGTAGTCTCAATCCTATAAATTTTTAAATTTATTTATAACATGGAATGGAATTGCTAATGTTCAAATTTAATAGTTAATGATCACATTTAAAAAGGTCAAGTCATACCCATCAAAAAGACTTTATTTTTTTTTTTCTAAATTGACTTAAATTGTCATAAGTGAGAATAGTCAGAGTGAAAAATTAAGGTTTATATACAAGTGAAAAATTAAAAAATGAATAATAAATCATCCAATATTGGTCTTCTTGACAAAAGATATTGCTAAAAATATACAATGTTGCAGCTTCCACCATTTAACATTATCCTGCTAATTCAGCACAATTGAGAGACTGCAGCATCTCTCACCATGCAATCCTTACAAAACTGTCCTGGACCATGTTGAGTTGACTACAAAATGTGCCGTAACCAAGTGTTTTTTTTTTCCTAAAAAACATTTTCAATGAGAAAGTTTATCAAATTAGTTCATGGCATGAATAAAATTAGTTCACATTATTTTAAAACAAAGATCTAGCAAAAAAGAAATAAAGACAGTTTTTATTAACTTTTACAGTAAGTTAACAAATGCAATCTTACCCAAAATGTCACCCTCATACACAAGTGCACAATCTAAATAGCTAAAAGTAGAAATGAACAACTGGAAACAACAGAAGATATATCTTCTTAGAATAGAACAAGACTATTAATAGGTTTCTAAACAATGTGAACTAATAATAAAGAGTGAATTAGAGGGTGTGATGGTAGCACTCCTCTCAACAATTTTGATTTCAAACAGTTCAGTAACAATTTAATTTAGTGTGTTAAGGAGGGTAACCTGCACTGATGGCATGTTTTAACACTTTCCATCTTTTCCACAACCATCAACGAAGAGTGTCCAGGGTTTCGGGGCTTAGCACCTTCTTCTAACATCACTCTTCCTCGATTTACAAGTTCAGTTTTCTTGTCCGGAACTCCAGAGTAACAAGCAGGAGTCACATTCTGCAATCTAGAAACAATATTATATTTCTAGGGCAAAAGTAAATGAATAAATAAAATTATGCATTGCATGGCAGAGTGGTTGAGATAAGTAGGAGGAATTTTGGGTTTGTGAGAGGAATAGGATCTAGAAGGTGTGCAGCAGGATTTTATGTTGTTGATGAGAGAAAGGTCAAAAAGATGCCTAACTTTCCCATTCTCTACTCTCTGAAAAAACTCGTAGTCAAAGATTTTGGGTGTGATGTCGTTGGCCATGACTGAAAGCTTGTATTTAAAATGGGAGAAGGTTAATCCAAAATGTAACCGTTGTTATCTCGAGAGTCACAGCCACTTAATTTTTCTTTCACCCGTGAGTCTTGAAATTCACGACCATTTAATTTCTACTATCATGTCGCTTCCCAATGCCGATTGAAATTTACGATCACCATTTAATTTCTCATCTTCCCATACCTAACCATTATTAACGTACAACAATGTACAGTTATATTTTTATATATTTATTTAAAATATAATAATTTTAAAAAATTATTTATATTTTTTAAGATTATTATTTTAATTAATTTTTATAAATAATATATATATATATATATATATATCCATTAATTTATTTTAAACAATAACATAATTTAGATAAAATATATATTTTAAACAAAATAAATTCTTAAATATATTTCAAATTATTTAAATTTAATAAATAATTTAATTAATTAATTAGATAATTTTTATAATAATTTATTTTTTAATAGATAATTAATTTTTTATTTTAAAGTTGGTTTTATATTTTTTACCTGATATAATATGTGATCTTCACCTAATCCATATCCTTATATTAATTAAAATTATTTTTTAATATTTAATAATATAACTTTAAATATATTATAATATTATCATATTTTTTAAAATTTATAAAAGTTTATTAAATCATTAATATATTAAATAATATTACAATTTTAATCATTAAATTTACATTGTTTAATGTAAAAAATATTCTCTAATTAAATGAATAAATTATTTATAATTTTAAAAATATTTATCTTTATAATTTAAAGTATATTTTTTTTATATAGTTTAATACTTTACATTAATGCACACTTATGAAACAATATTTTCTTTTTTCGTATTATAAAATAAAAATGTTTAGATATGATTGCGTAATTCTGGATCAAATTAGAGTAGTGAACAGGGAGTTACTTACCAAGGAAAAAGAATAGTTAAAGGTACAATAAAAAAGTTAATAAGCTTAACAGTATGTTTGTTTCCATAGACTGTTCACGAAGACGAGGATGATACACGTTTGGTTGAACAGAAACATGACGAAATGAGAGCGAGAAAAAGCGGGAGATGGGAGAAAGAGGATCTTCGCTGATCCACAAAGAAAAGCGACGAAAGCCTCCTGGACAAATTGAAATGTCCAACTTACCTTCACTTTGGAAGATTCACTGGTGCAAGCATGCAGAGAGATTACTGGAATATAATTTATGCAGAGAGATTCACTGGAAGAACTGGAATATAATTTATGCGAGAGATATAGATAAAATGTAGACTTTAGATAGCGGTTCCAGGTTAACCGCTATCTAAAGTCTCGAGTATTTAAAAATCTGATCGATCATTTTGGCAAAGTAATCGATTAGATTTTCAAATACTCGAGACTTTAGATAGCGGTTAACCTGGAACCGCTATCATATGTTCACCTCTGATAGCGGTTCCAGGTTAACCGCTATCTAAAGTCGATTATTTGAAAAATTATATCTTCTAAAATATAATTTACTTTCATTTCATAATTATTTGTTATTATCAATCAATATTAATTATTATTTTATATTTTATAATTATTTAATTATTAATCAAATAATTTATTTAATATGTCAAAATTAGTTTTTTATGGATATGCAATGTACATAATTTTGTAATTGTTTATTTATATAATTTTTAATAACTATTTAAAAAAAGTTAATTTTTTAAATTTGTTTCCAATTACAAACACTTTTAAATTTGTTTTTTCTTTTAAATATATAATCAATGTTAAAATATGGATAATTAATTAAAAAATTATATTTATAATCATTTGAACCTTATTTTATACAAAGGGTAAAATGGTAATTTTCTTAAATAATCAATTAAAATTATAATTTTTATATCTCATATCAATCAAATCATTCACAATTTCCCATAAACTTTCCTTTCACTTTCCATTCATCCAAACAACTTTAATTTCATCTTCATTTCTCTTCAAATCCCTCCTTTTCCACTCTCTCATTTCCACTCTCTCAAATCACTCCATCCAAACAAAGCATAAATGAGAAAGTTGAGTTTAAAAACAAATAATTAAGTTTAAAAATTAGAATCACAGAGTGGTGATTGTCTTTTATAAAATAATAAACTCAGTTTCATGCTTTTTTAATTTTTTAAAACTATATAATTAAGTCTTAATATTTTATTATTATTATTTTATGATGTCAATTAAAATATAATTTTTTTAATAAAAATTCTTTCCGTTACACTTCTCTTACATATCTTAACCACCCATATATAATTAAATTAAGTTAAAATAATGAACTCACTTAAATAAAATAATTAATATAATTTTAAACACATAATCAAATTTAATTAAATACAAATTTATTATAATATTATAAATAAATATTTTAAAATATATAATATTTATTAAATACGTATTTATTATACTATTGATGTCCCATTTAATTTAAATGTATTTTTAAGATGAGAATATGTAAGTATGGTAAGAAAACATATATATATATATATATATATATATATATATATATATATATATATATATATTAATTCAATAATTAATAAAGTCAAATAATTTTTTATTAAAATTATAAATTTTTTCAATGGATGAAACTTTGATAAAACTTTATAAATTTTATTTTAGTTTTATAATATTAAAAAATGAGTTTTGATTCTTGTTAACTGCTAAAAAAAATTAATAAGTTAAATATTTATTCATAATAAAATTAATCATGTCTTGGATTATAACATAAAAAACAAATGATATCTCCCATTATATATATTACCAAATTATAATAAAAATATCATTTAGGTATTTCTTCATTAAAAGAAAAATAAAATTATTTAATGGCTAAAATTACTTAATGGCCAAGGCTTCTATTGGCCAAATGGATCTTATTAAAGCATAATCTTGTAGTGATGGGATACTCCAAAAAAACTAATTCAATAACTATTTGTGAGAGTTCATGTCTTGTGAGAACAATAGGATATCATCCATGTAAATGATCGTTCCGTCTAGTATAGACTCAAAGATTTTTGTCAAGGTTTTTTTTGGAACAGTGATGGGGTTATTTTAAGTCCAAAAGGTATTACTTTTCATATACAGATTAGCACTAGATATACAGAAAACAGTCTTGTATTAGTCAGATGGGTCAATGTCTAATTGTCAGAATACGGATTTAAGGTCAAACTTAGAAAAGATATAGGCTTATTTTATCAGAGTGAGTAAGGACGAGGCTTTGAGAATTGGGTCATTTTTAAAAAAATAATTAAGAGGCTTATAATCGATGACTAACCACTTTTTTCCTCTTATTTTTTCAGACTTCTTTTCCATATAAAAGGCTTGACAGACCCAATTGGATTAGGTTGATTCGATCAGGCCTTGCTTCAATAGTTCTTGACATTCTTGTATGGTTAACTATAGGTCCAATGAGACATTCCTAGATATGTGACCTTCGTAGGATTAACATCAAGTTTGAAAGGTAACTGTACAAAAAACTTAGGATTCTTCCATAAAGTCTTTGGATGAGAAAAGTCTTCATGATTGCTAACACAAAGAAGCTAACTTCTTCTTTATTTCTTCCAAGTCTAGAGGGGTTTTAGAGAGAGAAAATAATCTGGGTATGTCTGTGAAAGATTTGAATTCCCTCTTGAACTTGATTTCTATAGGATGGATCTGAAGTTTGTTAGTCATGGAGAAAATGTTCATACCTACTAGCATATCCTTATTGGGAAGCTTGCTCCCAATCACTTTAGACAAGATTGTACACTCTGGGAAGAATTTGATTCCAATTGGAGCTTTGGTGATCATATCAATTTTGAAATTTTTCTGTCAGCTGCAACGAAGTAAGAGACTTCCTTCATCCAAAATTGTTTTGAAAGTATGTTTGGATCCATCATAGACTTCTGGGCTCTTGTGTCAAGATAAACTATGACTTTAATGTCCTTCTCATACTTCAGAGGAGGAAGCTGAACTTCTAAGCATGGTTGAGGAGGAGAGATATTGACAGGGTTGATCTCTTGGAAAGAAAATACTAGAACAGTATCAATTTCTGATTCATCGGAATAATCGAATTTTGTCTCATCAGAGGAGATGGTAAGGACAAAGATGGTCTCTTCATCTGCAGAACTTTGTTCTTAATAGAGAGACTCTATATCGTTATTGTCATCAAGCTTGAGGGTGGAGATGAGTTTTATGGTTTTTTCAGCTATATGAGGATAGTTACTAAAGAAATGTCCTTTCTTTTTGCAGATAAAGCATCTATAATTTTGTGATTTTCTTCTGAACTTCTTCTTCTTCTTTCGAGTAGGCAGTTTCTCTCGCTTTTTCTTCTTGCAGTTGTCTGAACAAGGCTTCTTGCATTTAATCTCAACATAGGGTTTTTGACATTTGTTGAACTTATTTTTTTGAGTCATGATGTCAGAAAAGAACTCGTGTTGTCTGCAAAGTTTGTCAATGGCTTTTAGGGTCATTTGGTGGATTTGACCCATGGTCAGGGTGGTGAATTTCTTCTGGATAACCATTGTCATCTTGTTCAGTTCTTCAAGATAGGATTATTGAGTCCATTAAGATGGTAGAACCTCTTTGATTTTGACTGATCAACATCTCATTTCGAATAAAATCTTGCCTGAGTTTCTTGTTGGTTATCTTGTTGGTTATCGAGTCATCCCCTATGAATTCTTCATGTAAGGCTCTGAGTACTGCTGAGGTTTGTCCTAATTCATGGAACTGGTTCTATCGGACAACTCCGAGATTGTGATACCATTTTTTGAGAGTTCCAGTCATTTTGCAACAAAATTCTTTAATGACCTTATAGGAGTCATAATCTTTGTCTAGCTTGGTGTCTAACCAAGTTCTAAATTTGATCAGCCTCGCTCTCTATTTGGCTTTGAAGAAACATTTGTCCTAATAGGACCAGAGTTGACTTCTTCATCAGGAGAGTCATAGATGGGTTCATGTCTGACTTTTGATCGAGAGGTATTGGTCATTAGAATTTGGG